GTTACGGCCCCTGTAGCCAATACTAACCTCTCTGTGCCTTGTGTTACAGGCTTGTCTGGTCTAGCCATGCCTGTTTGACAGATCTGCCCTGGGCGTCTTTGATTCCGTCATGGTTATTTTCAGCCCGTCTGTGTGGCTGTGGTGGTCATCTGCTCCACCGTGGGGATCTTCAAGCCCATCTGCGTGGGTGTGGTGGTCATCTGCTCCGGCGTGGGGATCTCCGAGCCCGTCTGCGTGGGTGTGGTGGTCATCTGCTCCGGTGTGGAGATCTTCAAGCCCGTCTGCGTGGCCGTGGTGGTCATCTGCTCCACCGTGGGGATCTACAAGCCCATCTGTGCTGCTGTGGTGGTCTTCTGCTCCGCCGTGAGGATCTTCGAGCCCATCTGCATGGCTGTGGTGGTCATCTGCTCCACTGTGGGGGCCTTCGAGGCCATCTGCGTGGCTGTGGTGGTCATCTGCTCCGCCATGGGGATCTACAAGTCCGTATGTGCTGCTGTGGTGGTCGTTTGTTCCGCCATGGGGGTCTACAGCCCCGTCTGCGCTGCTGTGGTGATCTTTTGCTCCGCCGTGGGGGTCTTCAAGCCTGTCGGTGCTGCTAGGGTGGCTTTCTGCTGGACCCTGGACATTTGCTGTTTGTATTACCCAGTTAGCCCTGCCCTGGATTCCTGCTCGGCCATCGTCGGCCGTTTCCCAGACTACATTGCTCTGTCTCATGTGAGATGATTGTTTGCACCTGCTTCCATTTGGATCATTAGGGTCCTGCCTATATAAGCTGTGTTTGTCTCTACCATTGTCATTGAGGTTTTACATTGTTACACTGCCTTCTGAGTTCTTTCGGTCTTGATGGCGGCGCGTGCACACGCTGCGGCTTCTCTCGCTCCCGTCAGAACGGTGTTTTCATGTTTTTTGTCACAGTGTTTTTGTATGTCTTCATCGCGTCTACCTGTCTTTAAGCACGCATACAGTCGTGAGTTTCTGCTCGATGTCAGCAGAACCACATTTTTAGAGTTAAACCACAAGCGGCGCGAGAGGAAGCAGAAGAGGGGTAAGTGCGGAGGTATCCGGGCTAGGCTAATGGCTAACCCACACAAGCCAGCTATCCCCACTATCGTACTGGCTAACGTACGCTCTTTGGACACTAAACTGGACTACATCCGACTACTACGCTCAACTCAAAGGACTGTAAGAGACTGTTGTGTTTTGTGTTCACGGAAACATGGCTCAGCAACAGCGTTCCGGACTGGGCTATTCATCTCGATCAGCTGACATGCTATCGAGCGGACAGAGTTCTCGTCGAGGGAGGTAAGACCCGCGGCGGTGGACTTTGTGTTTACATCAATGATGCGTGGTGCCGCGATGCTGTTGTGGTCTGCAAACACTGCTCA